AAATAATATTTTTTCTCACAAAAGAAGGAAAAAAAGGAAGACCGGAGACATTTGGACTCGAACCGGCGTTCTATGATTTCTACACCGCCCGACATCCCATTTCAGCTGTTATTACCTTTTAGGAACCGGCAAAATTTACTTTCGTATTCTAATGATATTGTAGCAGATTTTCGTTGCCTAATTGCCTATTATACGAGCAATTCTTGTATATATACATGAATTGTTCCTTTAAAGGCATTGGATTATAACCCAATATTTAACCGAAAGCGTTCAGAAAGCAAATTTAAGAAAATAAATATTGATGAAGTAACGAACAATGATAAGGAATCGGTAACATGAAAACAGAGATTTTTTTAATTCAAGATGATAAATTACAAAATGGTCACATTCGCACTTGTGAACGCGTGTGAGTGCTTGCACAGATAGTCCGCTTAAAACAGTTGAATTAGGACTGATTTTTCAATCCCCAGGTAAACAGACAAATAGCGTTTTTTCGAGAGACAGCAAAAAAATTTTTTTATCACCAGTTTGGCCTCATTCGACGAATTTTCTAACTTGTTGACTAATGAAGGAATAACTAACTCTCTATGTGTTCTTTTGACAACCCGATATCCGATTATTAGATAGTTTAATTTAATGACATGACACTAAATGCAGCATTTAACTTCCTTTTTTATTTATTTTTTTGGATTTTGCATTATATATACACACATATACATATATTAATATATTATAAAGTGAAACTGTTATTGTTTGAAATCGGAAGCATTTAGTATTAATTCCCTCGGATTCTGTACAATATCTGTCTTTGCAGAAAGGATTATTTTTTAAACGTTTTTCTCACTTGTCTAAACGTTAAATTTTGAAAATTACGGACCATTATTATTTATTGCTTTGCCGACGGCAAGCGTCGATACTTATAAGTAGAGAGACGATTAGATACAGTCAATATACCTAGTACATAAATAGTTAACAATCCGTAAATACAGCCTTCATCCTTCAATGCAACGCAACATTTCTTCTGGGACAGAGTTATCTATATACCGTTGTGATAATTCAACGTTTTATTATTTTGGACATGGCTGAAACTGATATCCAATATCTCGTTAGTTCTAAGGTTAAAAGCCAACGAATTTGTATTTATAGTCTTTCGGGTTGCTACGCTTATATCTAGGTCCAATAGATAATATTATTACAATCAATAAACGCCTCAAGACGCACTATACAATTAACTATTAAACATGAAATATTTAAACATAGTTAAAGCATTTATTTTAAAAAATCCTATCGTCGAGGGTCACATAGTCGATACCGGCGTAGCCGTCTTGAAGGCTTTTAACACAACATAAACCTAGGAATATGTTGCACGATAACGGTACACTTAGCTACTAATCACAACAACGAATATGTTTTAAGGAAAATGTTCAAAACAGCTACAAGATTACAATATTCATTATTTTTATCGAGAAACTGAAATATCGTTACTTAGCTTTATAATGAAATGATAAAAACAACACTACACTAAACAAAAAATCAATAAAAACATGTATGTAACAAATTAAGAACAATTTAAAAAAAATTATTAACATCTAACAAACCCATTTGAAAACTAAATATTTATTTATTTATTTTTCCACTATACAATTATCTTTACAGGTTTATCACCTAATGCGATAATGTAGACAACTATTTTACCAACTCCAACTACATAGTTACAAGCTAATAATTTTCGATTACTGACATGTACTTATTGCTATTTCAAACACGTATCTATATCACATAAGGACCATAACTAATTTCAAATAGAGCTCTTACTATGAACCCACCCAGAGTACAACAAAATATATCTATGTCTTCTGCTATACGGTTGAGGATACGGAGGGCGCGCGTAAAGGGCGCTTCAGTCACCAGCTTAGTGTGGTCGCGCGGCACAGCTATCAGCTGGGGCCGCCGCCGCCGCCACACGTATCTGTCCGGAACACATATGCGTACTTGTTGCAATACGTCTGGATTGTGAATCTTTCCCCTCATCACCTTAAAGATATATGAAACAAGCGCTAAATTCCTCCTAGCCTTTAGCTCATTGTATCCTACCATACCTAAGGTGAATAAGGTGAATACTTATTTGGGTAAAATGGGTATACTCCATACATTTTTTGATATAAATATCTAATAAATATATTCTGCACTCTCTCCAACATGATACTATACTTAGTCTCATGTGGAGACCAGATGACCGCGTTGAATTCTAATTGGCTCCTCACTAAAGAATTATATAATGCAATAACTGTCTTTATATTAGTGAAGTCCCTAGATATCCGTAGTACGAATCCCAAATTTCTGTAGGCTTTCTTACAGATTTTGGTTATATGCTCTCCAAATTCTAGTTTAGAGGAGAAATTAACCCCTAGATCTTTGACTTTTCGCTATTGGTGCCCCGTTAACCTGGTATTGGTACGTAACTGGAGATAGTACACGGCTGAAGGTCATAGTTATGCACTTCGTGATGTTAAATTGTAAGTTATTATGTTGGCTCCAGGCTACCACCCTATCTATATCTTGTTGTAACTTTTGGCAATCCTCTCTGTTCCTCACAGCAAGATACAGTTTCAGGTCATCTGCAAATAGAGTACAATGAGCATCTTTGACAACCGTTGGAAGGTCATTTATCATCAATATGAATTGCAATGGACCGAGATTGCTGCCCTGACTTACTCCGGACCTAGTTAAATAGTTTTCTGACCTACACCCCGCATATTCTACATACTGCTTTCTGTTCCGCATATAACTAGCAAAAAATGTTAGTAAATGGGGAAGTAAATCCTACACCTGCCAGTTTTGTGAGCAGTATGTCATTATCCACTAGGTCGAAAGCTTTTTTGTAATCCAAGAAAGCTACATCTACCTGTCCTCCAGCATCCACTTCAGGTACAATATAATTCATATAATTAATTAGGTTGCTGGTGGTGCTCCTGTCGGGTCTAAAACTGTGTTGCTCATCCGAAAGCTGTACATTAACTTGCGAGAGGATGCTTTTGTGTACTGCAGCCTCCAGTACTTTAGCTGGTATCGAAAGCACAGCAACCGGCCTATATTGGTCCACGTTTGATGCTGACTTTCCTTTTGGTACTGGGACTACCTTGGTTGTTTTCCATCTATCTGGAAACACTGCCTCCGCCAGGCACTGATTAAATATGTAGAGAAGTGGCTTACCAAGTACTAGTCTACAGTCTTTGAAAATGTAGGGCGATATGCCATCGGGTCCCGTTGACTTTTTGGCTTGAGTTTTTGCAGAGCGTAAAGTACTTCATCAAGCTTTAGTTGTTCTAAGTGTACCCTAGCCGCACCATTCTTACCACCAGCCTGATTCACTGTCGCCTCCACGTCCAGCTTAGACATCTTAGGGCTAAATACCGAATAAAAATACTGAGCAAACTCAGTAGCACACTGCTCACTAGTAAGTACATTATTATCTTTTAAAATCTTGCGTGGACTTCTGCTGTCTTTTTTTTGAGTTAATGTAAGCCCAGAACGCCTTTGGATTTTCCTGAAACTCACTCTGCATCCGGTCTTTATAATTTTCGTGCGTGGAGTTTATTAAATATTTTACATACGTTCTACACTTAGCAAACGCCTCATAATCGGCCCCTGATTTGCTAACCTTAAACTGCCTATGAAGCCTAGCTTTTAATTGTATGTTGCGAATAATGTCTATCGTATACCACTCGGGGTAACTGTACTCCGAGTTTACACGTCTTCGCTTTTTTCTTGGCACGCAGTCATCCATAACTTTTTTTAAAACCTCATAAAAATAATCTAAACTATTATTTACATCTAACCTATACATTGGCATCCAATCTATGGCCGCTATTAACGAATACATTAACGGAAAGTTTGCTTTATAGAACTTCCATCCAGTAAGCGTCTGATTGCTCCCCTCAGACTCAGCTAGCAGTGGCGCCGGCGCGGGCTGCCCGCCGTACCGCGCACGCCCCCGCTGCACCACAATGGCGAGCGGAGGATGATGTGGGTCGGGCGGCACGATTTGCTCAGCCGCGCGCACCTCCAATTCTTTTTCCACAAAACAAGATCTAATTGTCGTTCATTGCAATTTCCTATTTTGTTGTACTGGGTGAATTCACAATATGTGCAAAAGTACTCAAAATGATTGCGTACATTTGTTGAGCTAGAATATAAATTAAAATCGCCTATCACTATTAAATCATTGTAGCCATCACGATAATTTTCTATTATACTTAACAACAACATGTATTCATTATTACCACAACTCGGTGGAATGTATACTACACACAACACAAACATGAACTTATTTTGTTGATAAACCGCAGCGCTAACCAGTTCAAATGCGTGATCTTGAATACGTACATCGTTCGGGGTATTTAGTTCCCGCAGCTCGTATCGTGGTGTGGCTACTAAACACGCACCACCCTGCTTGCGTCCGTCTGCCCGATCACACCGAAGTATCATGTATCCAGGTGGGATAAGTTCTGAATCATAGATAGAATTGTTGCATCCTGTTTCTGTTGTTGCAAAAAAATCATAACTATGGGAAGAAATTCCCACATAAAAATCGTGTAATTTTGTTCTCAATCCTCTCACGTTCTGATAGTATATCTCCACAAAATTGAGTGGTTTCTTATTACTTATTGGGTGGTTTACGAAACCACACCCATTCACAAAATTCAATGTTAACTGCCCAACATTCTGGTTTACATAGTATTTCGTATGAACTTTCTGGAACTCCTATTATAAATGACGCATAGTCTCGTTCCGTCTTATGTTTAATTTTTTCCACTGTTATTTCCGTCTCTTTTCCACATATATTCTTTACATGTCCTTCCAAACTTTATACTGTAATATCCTTTTTTTAATCGCCAAACATGTAAAATTTTTTTTCCTTTCAGTACCTTGAATATTTCCTGTACCAGTATTTCCTCCTCTTAAGACTTGCCTCTCAGGATATTTCTTTTTCTGTACAGTTATCCATGATCCTTTCTTTTTGCAAGTTTCCATCTTATTTTCTGTATTATCTGTCGATAGTTGTTCTTTATCAAAACTCTCCGCAGCGTTTCTATATTACATGTCGGTTTCATGGCCACGCATGCCACTACACGCTTATCTTTGTTATTATCTTTGTTTACTGGCTGATTTTTGCTTAGTACCTGCTTTTCGTTTTGTGTGAGTACCTTTGCAAAGGATAAAGTCTCCTTTCTGATTTCCTTAACTGTCTCATTTCTTTCTTTTGTAGGCTGATTTTTGTTCAGACAATTCTTTAATTGCTCATTTTTTTGCTCCAATGTTTTTATCTGCGCTTCTAATTCATCGACTTTGCTTGCCTTCTTCTGCACTACTTTCAAAGTATCTCGTAATTTACGCAATTCTGTTTCGGTATCAACAAACCTGTCCTTGAGCAAATTGTACTCCCTTATTTGTTCATCTATTTTAAAGTTCATTTCAAATCTAAATTCTTGCAATTCTTGCAGTATTTTACTACTGATATCCAATTCTATAACTTCTTTTGGAAACATCCTATTGCCTCGGTCTGAGTTTACATAGCAAGGGGTAGAAGTTTGATTCATTATATTCTGGTTACCTCGAACTGGTGTTTCCGAATTGTCCCGTTTCGGTGCACTGCAAACACACTCCGGGCATCTCCAATTGCACTTGTATTCTTCGGTAAACGCTTCGTATTTATCCTTCGTCAGAGCCAAGCACTTAAGATGGTACAATTTATTGCATCCATCTCTTGTACATTCCATGTACGAAATGTAGTATATTACGGCATCACAGCCGTTATATTTTCGACCCATTTATTTGAAAAATACACTTTTTCCGCTATTAATTATTTTTCCGCTATATTCTTATATTCTTAGCTAGAATCATAGCAATAAAACTATAAAATTATACGAACGTATTATATAAGATTAAATAACTGTATTAAAGAATAAAGAAACATATGGTATAAATATAATAATTTAACGATATATAAGTTTCATTATTGGTTATTACATATTAGCCAGTAAAATTAGACTCTTGTTTTGAGTTTTAGACATTTAAATGTTTTTATATAACTGGTATGAATCGATAAAAAATATTTTTACATTTCCGGCATAATCGCGTTATACAGATTATGAAGATGTGTATTAAGTATTAACAAATATTTTGACAATAGGTACCTAATACACTAACTTGTAAATCCTACAGTAATATAGAAAGTTATTGAAAGTAAAGTCCAATTACGATTTATTGTCCTATTCTTTAACGTCATGAAAATTGACGGTAAAATTGAATGTATTGTCAAAGTTAATTTTATTGTCATTTTGGAAGTTCCACACTAATTAATATAAGTCCGCCTAGCATTTCGGACTCTAATAGAAATTGCTAAGTCTTATATCTATAAAAATACAATGCGATTATTTAAAAATGGTTAAAACATCGCATAACTACCATGAAAATTTCAGCAATTTATGTAAATATAAAAATATTGATAATGCTTAGAAGCTCGCAAGGGTAGAAGAGAGGAATGTTATCAAGCGAAAGCTTAAAAAAGATATGCTTCCGATATGGCTATTTAATACTGATACGAATTAAAACCTGCTTTGTTGTACATTTAAGAAGATCTCCCTCGGAATGTTCTAGAACGTGCTAGAATATGTAGTCGTTTCGGTGCAACAAATGCCGGTAGAGCTCAATAGACGTAAGGAACGAACTCGGGAGTCGGGTAGTCGAAGTAAGGGTGGTAGTAGGTGCGACGGACCGGTGGCAACATTACATCGCGTAAGCGTGAGAACTGGGATACCTGGCGGCTTCCACTGGGAGGTTTTCTGAAATAAAAAAACATATGCGACAGTAGCTTAATGGCAGGGCGCGGACCGCGAACTCAAAAAGATCGTGGGTTCGAATCCACCATTCGGCTACTGGCTTGAACCACTTGTAACACAAGCAATTTAAGCTTACCATGAGTGGTAAGGGGAATATTAGTAATGTTTATAGCATTGTTAATATTCTTTTTTAAAAATAAAAAAATATCCTAGAATTCGTATAGTAGACAAATTTTTGTATTCATTTTTTTTTCAATTATTTTTAGTTTATAAATATCTCCATTGGAAAATATATATATTAATTTTTATGTTCATCAATCAAATAGATTTTGAGTTTAACGATTTCATATATACGAACATCCTTTTTTAATTTTATGATAGATATATTGTTACGCGCTCCAATGCCTCAAATCGGCGCACTAGCGCCATCTAGTCTCGAACCGAAGAACTAAACTTCTTGAAGTTTAAAACTCGAATTTTCGGTACCTTGCGCGTGTTTACTTGAACATTCTGGATATTTTGCTAATTTATATAAGTAGGCGCTGCAAGATGCGATCGAAGTAGTATTGAATTGGCGATACGAGCGAAGCTTCGGAGCGAAATTAAGTGAATTAGTGTGTTTAATTATTAGTGTTTTAAGATTTAATTTGTTTAAAGTAAATTAAAGTGTTAATTTAGGTAATTTTATCGGCAATTTTTATTGTCACGAACCTCAAGCTCGTAACAATTGGTGTCAGAAGTGGGATAAAATCATGCCGATTTTACCTAAGGAGGAAACGGAGGGTGTCCGTACCCGAAGTCAACGCCAGCAGGAGACGGACCAACGAAGATTTGGTGGTGCAACGCCGCAGACGTCGGAGGGCCAGCCACCGGCTGAAGGCCCGTCGGTAGCTCCTACATCTGCAGCACCTGACTTAGGTGCTCTGATGGTGATGCTGCAGGAGCAGGCTCGCCGACAGGAGGAACAGGCTCGCCGACAGGAGGAACAGGCCCGCCGACAGGAGGAACAGGTCCGTCAGTTGAAAGAGCAGCTGCAGAGCGGACAAGAGGAACAGGCCCGCCGACAGGAGGAACAGGCCCGTCGGTTGGAAGATCAGCAGGCGGAACAGGCTCGTCGGTCGGAAGAGCAGATGCTCCTCATGAAGGACCTTCACGCTACCTTTGGGAAAGAGATAAGGGACGTGAAGGATAGGGTTGCTCAACACGACAACCGCCTGTCGGAAGCTGAAACCCGAATCGAAGAACATGAAACCCGAATCAACCATGTGAACAATCGGGTTGACAACGTGATGGCTGACGTGAAAAAAACGCTAAACGACCTCAAACTTGGGGATGGAACTACAGCTCCCGTAGTAGCTGCAGCACCTTCGCTACGTGGATTCAAAGTGCCGCCGTTCGACGGGACCTCTTCCTGGTCGGCCTACAAAATCCAGCTTCGAGGCCGTCATGGAGGCGAACGGCTGGAATAAAAGCCAAGCCATGACTGCACTCACACTAGGCCTGCGCGACCAAGCCTTAACTAGTGTTGGAAGCTCTCGGTAAGAAAGTGACCTATGAGCAGCTTCTTGAGGCCTTGGAAGCGAGATATGGCGACGCTCATCTGGAACACGTCTTTCGCGCGCAGCTTAAAGATTGCGTGCAGCGCAGCAACGAGAACCTGCAACAGTGGGCCCTTGAGGTGGAGAAGATGGTTCGAAAAGCATACCAGTCTGTACCTGCGCTCATTGAAGGGAACCTGGTTCAGACATTCATCGACGGCATCCACGACCTTGAAGTCAGAGCTGCTGTGAGACTCGGGCACCACGACACGCTTAAGAACGCCTTGGCCCATGCACTGGAGGTGGAAGCCGTGCGGCAGGATCATCGTTCCCATCGCATCAGGGAGGTTGCAGCAGCTACAGTTCGCGACCGCAACAGAGGATACAGCCCTAGGTGCTATGGCTGTGGGGAAAAGGGCCATCTTCGATCCAGCTGCCCTAAGCGAACCCTAGAAAGGGAAGGTGAACGATCTCAGGAGGGTAGTGCGGCCAACAGCACCGCCCTGCAGCAGCAGGGAAACGAGTAAAAGCCAGAACTGCGGGGCGGGTGCTAGCTGATGTTGAAAGAGCCCCAAGGATCTCGATCTCACAAACCCATGATGGGAACAGTCTAATCATCAAGGGCGAGGTCAACGGAATGCCGTGTAAACTGACCATAGACACTGGAGCCTCTCGTACGGTTGTTAGTTCCCAACTTATAAGTCAGTTTCTTGGGGACTCCGCATACAACCGAGAACGAATTAATTTGGTAACAGCTACCGGTCAGCGTATACCCGTCCGTGGAGAGAAGGAGATGGAGTTGAAGCTAGGCAACGTGATCTACCTGCATAATGTCATCGTGGCTGATATAATGGACGACTGCATCCTAGGCCTAGACTTTATGAGGAATAATTGTTGTGAGATCGACGTTAAGCAAGGTGTTTTGAAATGTGGACAGGAGGAACTTTTTATGGAAGGTGCGTTACCAGGGAACGTGTACAGCATTAAGAAGACTGTTCTTCCGCCGAGATCGGAAACGATTGTTCCGGTTAGTCTTCCTAGAAACGCTAGGCAAGCTCACCGTTGTGTACTTGTGGAAAGGGTAAACAATGACCTTCCATGGAAAGTAGCTCGAACCCTGGTTAGGACCACTGACACCTCAGGAGTACGTGTGCTGAACCTTTGCGACCGGGAACAGATTATAGAAAAAGGCACACTGATTGGTACTTGTGAGGAAGTGGATTGGTTACGTCGGTGCCAATATATATCGAGTGGGACCCCCAGCAAGGATGCAGAAACGAGAGTGACCACACTTTTGGAAGACTGTCGCAGTGTTCTCTCCCCGAACAAATTGGTCAAGGCGAAGAAGTTGTTACTCAAGTACGCCGATGTATTCTCATCAAACGATGCTGACATAGGAAAGACTGGCTTAGTTCAACACAAAATAAACACAGGAGAAGAATTGCCTATCCGTCAGCGGCCAAGACGATTGCCGGTAGCACGTGAAAAGGAAGTGGAAACCATGATTGAGGGAATGGTGAAGGATGGTGTTATTGAACCTTCATCTAGTCCATGGTGTTCACCAGTGGTGCTGGTGAAGAAGAAGGATGGCAGCATGCGGTTTTGTGTTGACTACCGCCGTCTGAACGACGTTACGAAGAAGGACAGCTATCCCTTGCCAAGAATTGATGACACGCTGGACATGCTTACAGGAGTAAAGTGGTTTAGCACGCTGGATCTAAAAAGTGGCTACTGGCAAGTTGAAATTGACCCTAAGGACAAGGAGAAAACTGCGTTCTCGACGGGAAAGGGTCTGTGGCAATTTAAAGTAATGCCGTTTGGGTTGTGCAATGCTCCAGCAACGTTTGAAAGGCTGATGGAACTTGTACTTACCGGGCTAATTGGCGATGCCTGTCTGGTCTACTTGGATGACATCATCATCATAGGCCGTACGTTTGAGGAACACCTTCAAAACCTGGAACGCGTGCTCATGAAGATTCAGAGTGCCAACCTCAAGTTGAGCCCGAAGAAATGTTCACTATTCCAACGGCAAGATAACTTTTTGGGGTTTGTAGTATCGGAAGAAGGTATCCGCACAGATCCAGAGAAAATCGCCGCTGTCAAGGATTGGCCGGTTCCAAAAGACAAGACGCAGGTTAGAGCATTTTTGGGTTTGTGCTCCTATTACCGGCGATTTGTGAAGAACTTTGCAGATATAGCCAAACCTCTGCACAAGCTAACCGAGGAGAAGCGACATTTCTGCTGGGATGAAAGTTGCAATATCGCATTCCAGGAGCTCAAGGATCGTCTGTGCAAAACACCTATTTTGGGATACCCTGATGCAAGCAAAGAATTTATAGTTGACACAGACGCAAGTGATACAGGGCTCGGCGGTGTGTTGTCTCAACGGAATGGTGACCAAGAGGTCGTGATAGCGTACTTCAGCAAGTCGTTGTCAAAACCGGGAAGGAACTACTGTGTCACAAGACGCGAATTGCTAGCTGTGGTAAAGTCGTTGCAGCATTTTAGCAAATATCTTCTGGGGCGAAAATTTCACTTACGAACTGACCATGCTGCACTAAAATGGCTATTGTAGTTTAAAAATCCAGAAGGACAAGTTGCGAGGTGGATTGAACTACTGCAGGAATACGACTTCGAGATCGAACATCGCAACGGGAAATCTCATGGCAACGCAGATGCATTGTCAAGAAGACCTTGTCCTGAATGTTGCAAACATTGTACTAGGCAAGAGAGTAAGGAAGTGGTATCCGTGAGGATGCTCAGGGCAGACCACCTCAGCAACGAGTGGAAGGACAGCTTACAACGTGCACAGCGGGAAGATCCGGACATCAAGCCGATCCTGGAATGGATGAAGGCCAGTGCTCCCAAGCCCAAGTGGAGCGACGTCTCAGCGATGAGTTCGACCACTAAAAGCTATTGGGCCCAGTGGGACAGCTTGCTGCTTCAGGATGGAGTTCTGTGCCGTAAATGGGAAAATGTTCGGGGAGACAACTGTCATTTACAAATGGTTGTCCCTAAAGCTAAAGTACCGGATGTTCTACAGCTGTACCATAATGATTATTCAGGAGGCCATCTGGGAGTTAAACGAACTCTACTGAACATCCGAGAACGGTTTTACTGGGTCCACTGTCGAAACGATGTCGAGGACTGGTGTCGCAAATGTACAAGTTGTGCGGCTGTAAAGGGACCTCAGACTCGTAGTAGAGGTGCATTGAAGTTGTACAATGTTGGTGCACCATGGGAGAGAATAGCCATTGACGTGGCGGGGCCGTTTCCGGAGAGTGAAAGCGGTAACAGGTATTTCATGGTTGTGATGGATTACTTCACTAAGTGGCCAGAAGTCTTCGCCATTCCAAATCAAGAAGCTTCAACAGTTGCTGATAAGCTAGTTCATGAAGTCTTCTGTCGTTTTGGTGTACCTTTAGAGATTCACAGCGATCAAGGAAGGAATTTTGAGTCTCAAATATTCCAGGAAACTTGCCGAGTTATGGGTACTCATAAAACAAGAACGACTTCTTATCACCCGCAATCTGATGGAATGGTAGAACGATTTAATCAGACATTGGAGAGGTACCTAGCAAAAGTTGTAGACAATCGGCAACGAGGTTGGGACAAGCACATACAACCGTTTTTGTTGTCATATCGAAGCGCTGTTCACGAAAGTACAGCAGTGACACCAGCTCGCAAACTTTGGAAGAGAATTACGGCTGCCTGCAGACCTGATCACCGGGATACCACCTGATGCTCCACGCAGTATAACCGATTATGCAAATGACTTGCGGAACAAAATGAATGACGTTTATGAGCACGTCAGACAATCGGGCCAGCAAATGTCTGAAAAGATGAAAACCCGGTATGACCGCAAAATGAACAACAAAGGGTTCGACGAAGGTTCACTTGTGTGGTTGCACAATTCAGTCCGCAGCAAAGGGAAATCTCCTAAGCTTCAGGCTAAATGGGACGGCCCGTACCGGATTGTGACCAGGATCAACGATGTAACCTACCGGATACAGAAAGGCGCAAGAGGGACTCCTAAGATCGTCCATGTGGATCGCCTAGCGCGTTATTATGGGACCGATAATGCTCGGGACGAGCATGTCTTAGGAGGGGGCAGTGTTACGCGCTCCAATGCCTCAAATCGGCGCACTAGCGCCATCTAGTCTCGAACCGAAGAACTAAACTTCTTGAAGTTTAAAGCTCGAATTCTCAGTACCTTGCGCGTGTTTACTTGAACATTCTGGATATTTTGCTAATTTATATAAGTAGGCGCTGCAAGATGCGATCGAAGTAGTATTGAATTGGCGATACGAGCGAAGCTTCGGAGCGAAATTAAGTGAATTAGTGTGTTTAATTATTAGTGTTTTAAGATTTAATTTGTTTAAAGTAAATTAAAGTGTTAATTTAGGTAATTTTATCGGCAATTTTTATTGTCACGAACCTCAAGCTCGTAACGATATTAATTTCTTCATAGTTAATAAATTATGCTTTTTACTTCTGCGTTTTACTGAGCGTTATAATGTTTTAATAATTTGTTTTTATATAAACCATACGTTTAATTATTTTAGACTAAATTAATGGAATATTATTAAATTGCCAGCGACTTACTTGGAGTGTCTAGTGCTGTCATCGGCGGGATATTCTACCTGCAAGGGCTGTAAGCCTCGGGGTTTCGCTTCGCCATAATTATCATTCACGAAGTCCTCATTTCTGAAAGGAAAGTATATTATTTAAAATCATTTTTACGCAACCCTGTATCTCGACTTACTTTACTTTAACTTAATAACATTAATATTCTCCAGACCGAATTTCGATCACGGCAGTCAGTCTCAAGGAAGAATGGTCATCAAGACATAACTATATATATATATATATATATATATATATATATATATATATATATATAACGGTCTGCAATTTTTTTATTATTATTTATTATTATACGTGGTAGAGCAGTGGTGCAGTAATATTAGTATTATAGTTGTAGCATGAATGGGTTGGCTCGACCGGGGAAGGACCACGCTCTCACAGAATACCACCGTATAATAGCAGCTTTATGCTGCTGTGTTTCATATGGTGAGTGTAGAGAATCGGAGGGAGATCCTTTTTACAGAAAACTAGGCATTCCATCTTAGTCCTCACGGGTGACAACGCATCTGCATTTTGATTTATAATCGAGGATAGATGTCACTTACCATCAGGTGGACTGTGTGCTCGTTTGTCACCCTATCCTAAAACAAACTGAGAATTTCTTGACAAAAAAGGGGGACAACTCAACCGGGACCTTGCCAAGCGTGGCAACTATGGCAAATATCTCCCCTATAATTCAGTATAAGCGGAGTAGATCAGCAGTCGCGTTGAAGATCACTGGACCAAAACACACAAAAGCTTAATCGTTGAGAGAGGAAGTGAAGGTAAAAAACAATCATAAATTCCAACTGATGGTAAGTTAATGATTTTGCCAACGAACACACACCTTGACTAATAACCAAACTGCAGATGCGTTGTCGCCCCTTAAGTCTAAGATGAAATGCTTTGTTACCAGTGAAAAGGGTCCTTTATAATTTTCAATTAAAAATTACAAACTAAAATACGACTTACCCGCGACCGGCTGCCAGTTTTTTTTTTTTAATTTATTTATTAACATAGTAAATACAATTGGTTCAAAAAACATTAAGTTCGCCAAACTGAGAATACAATTCTTTGAGTTCTTGCGTTCAGTTTCATATTTCCTCTGTAACTCACGAACATGTTCCTTTCGTATCAGCTTCTTCAAGGCTTCAAATCTAAAACAACAGTAATTATTAATAATTAATCAAAAGTAACCGATAACTGATATTGATTAAGGTTTATTTTATTACGATCGTTATTAGTACCCGAATAGGTTTTGTAATTTGTCATAAATTATGTAATAAAAAACTCATTTTTAGAATTGGGCTAATTTATATTTATGATAACGACACATCATGTAATATATTTGAAAAAATTAAAACCTTATGATAAATTGTATGAAAATAATGTCCCATAAAATTGCGAGCTGTTTTAGTGCATTTCTAGCAACTAATTAATCAAAGTAAAATTCTGTACATATTGTTTGTGTAGTGTAGTGTAGTGATATTATGAAGACACGCCATCTTAGCACTTTGCCCCGCGCGTAAGTATCGATGTTGAGAAATATGGTGCCATATATGGTCACATATCCACTGCTCCATAAATTAGGCGATAGAGAGAAACTGAAACAGGACATGGGTAGCAGTAGCATCTTTTTTCAAAAAACTTAATAAAAAACTATGGTTGTCTCTTAATGGCAAATATCCTATTTATGGGGCAATCTAAGAGGGAGGCTTCTGTTCAGCGATGGAGTTTTATTGGCAATGTGTAATATAACACATGAATAATGAGATTGCGATTTATCTAATTTGCATAAGTTACAGCTATATGTGCACTCTTGGACACTGTGTTTTTGGGCAAAGAAGTGTTTGTTTTGTACTACACGTGTCTTTGAAATATTTTTTGTAATTTCTCAGAGATGGGAGTTTCCTCACGATGATTTCCTTTAGCGTAGCTCGTGATAAATTAGGACTTAAAATAGCAATTTACAATTTCATCGATGCCTGCGGGGATCGAACCTGGGTTGCTCGTGTACTGTCAAGTTTTTAGCAAACTCTTCGCCTCTGAGCTACCATGATTCCATTGTAAATCCGTAGCAGTAGTGTAAATCGATGCAGTTAAAGTTCTCTTTTAAATTCAGTTCATATTATGTGTACTCAGGCAATCTACCTGTCCAGCATTGTAACAATAATTTATGTATAATATGAAATATGTTTACTACTAAGTTTTTTATGGTTTACTGGTGCAAATGGTCCACTGTTACTACAGATATTATATGGAACTTTATTACCATTACGGTTTGATGAAGATGCATGCACGAGTCAGATAACCGAAATAATTTTATTTACCGATCTCTTTGTGGTGTGATCATAAATGAAGGTTGTCCAAGAGGTCTGGGCGGGCCCGGGTATCGCAGTATTTTGCCAGACGTGTGCGGAACATTTAACATTCCAAACATCTGTAACAAAACAATTTTTAACAATGTTGAAGTTTAAGATATCGAAGCTAAGATATTAATTTTTAATAATAAATATTATTATGATTAATTTAAAATATTAACTTAAATTAATATAGAATTTTCAAGTAACGATAAAAGTATATAATAAAATCAAAAATAATTATGGTTATAATTTCTTTTTTACGTCCCTTTCTTTACAGAATATCAATATGACAGTACAGTTCAGTCGTGTTATAAATATCAGTAAGTTGAAGTGGTGACGGACCAGTCCTATACCTCGTCTAAAAATCGTTAAACAATGGAAAATAGGACGACCTTCCACTAGACTAAGTGACACCTATCGGAGTGATATCCGAATATAACTCCGAGTACTGCAGGTTACCTCCCACACTTGGTTGATATTCCGAATATTCGCAATCTTTCTTAATGCACACAGCCAAGAGTGGAACGTCCTGGCGGCGTTTGTATTTCCGAGTACGTATAATATGAAACTCTTCAAGGTGTTAACAGGCTTCTCCTGGGCTCAAGTCGCTCCATCGTAGACCTTATCTATTCCCGTTGGCCAGTGGAGGTCAAGATTGAATTTTTCACACGGAAGTGTGATTTGTGGTTCCTTGAATAAGTAGCCTATGTTCAGCTACAACCACTTGATTGAAACTGTCTGCTCGTGACAGCTTAGCAGCATTCACCCAGTATTGCTGTTTGGCAGATTTAGTACTTAATATATACATATATTTCTTCCACACGGTGAAGTTGCCCTTTGGATGTGGTTCGACATGTAGACCTAGAACAAGAGGTAGTACACAGTGTGACAGTGTGCGTGCCTGGCGGAGTGGTCAGTATAGAATATGTTGCAAAAGTTTGTCCTTCTTTCACGTCGCAACAGAGCGTCGGCATGGCATGAGTTTTGGTATAGAGATATTTCGGTGGCTGTAGAGTGACATAGGCTACTTTTTTCCGCGGAAAAACATCTCATTCCCGTACTGGAAAATCGAATATGTAACAAAATTAAATTCAGCTAGGTAGCGCCACTGTGATTCTACAAGACGGACGACGGTACGATGGACGAACACAGAAGGTCAGAATATCTGGATTATTATGTCTTTTTACCAAAATTAAGATAAAAATGTATGGATCTGTATTTTTCCACGCAGGACCGGGAAGAGAGCGATAAAAACATAAAATTCACCAGCTGATTTTCTTCAAACGTTTTGGTGCATTGTAATTCACAGAATAGGCGATAACCTCGTAGACGATATTAAGTAATCCGTTGATGCTCTGCCTACCCCGCAAGGGTTACAGGCGTGATTATAAGTATGGATCAGAAGTACTATCACCACCTGTCACGCTTACATCCTTATTATTACTTAACTGTGTTAGAAACAGTTCTTAGTAAGCCTTATTAATAAGCCTTAGTAATATTTATTGAACGGAAATGAATACAGTTCTCATATGTGGTTATGAATGAATCGGTATTACAATAAGAAAAATTGTGCAAAATTATAAGAAAAATATTTTTTGAGAGTTCTTATTAACTAACGTATACATAATTTAAATTGATTCCGCTAGATGCTACCGCTCCACCAGGCACGCACACTCTCACACTGTATATGTACATGTCGAAACACATACAAAGATCGACTGCACTCGTGTATTGCAATAACTATACCAACCTGGACGACAATATATTCAAACAACCAGGTAGAGAAAAGAAATTCCACTAACAATTTTTTATTGTCAATACCTTAAGCAATGAAAACAATCTACTTGGTGGTCGACTGCATTACTGCCCAGAAATTTGTCGGGATAGGTACCTTGTTCTTATTTTTGCCACTAAATAACAGTTCTTCCATTGTTGTGTTTCAGTCTAGAGAGTAAAGAGTGCCTGAATAATAATTGCATTGCTGTGTTTCACTCTACAGCGTAAAAGTGCCCTGAATAATTATTGCATTGCTGTGTTTCAGTCGCAAAGGATAAGAATGCCTGAATAATTATTGCATTGCTGTGTTTCAGTGTAGAGAGTAAGAGTGCCTGAATAATTAATGCATGTGTTTCAGTCTAGAGGGTAAAAGTTCCTGAATAATTATTGCATTGCTGTGTTTCAGTCTAGAGGGTAAGAGTGCCTGACTAATTATTGCATTGCTATGTTTCAGCCTAGAGGGTAAAGAGTGCCTGAATAATTATTGCATTATTGTGTTTCAGTCTAGAGGGTAAAGAGTGCCTGAATAATTAAAGGCTGTGAGGCATTTCATTTTTATCCTCAGAGGTGATAACGCATTGTTTCTAGTTATAAAGTTAGCTGCAGGTGTCCATGGACTGCAGTTGCCACTTGCCATGCACCTTTTTACCTGGAAACGAGGCATTTCATGTTAGTCCTCAGAGGTGATAACGCATCTGTATTTTTATTTTTAGTCGAGGATAAATGAAGATGTCTATGGGCCACAGCATCAGGTGGACTGTATGCTCGTTAATCACCCTTGTTCTATGAAAAAAATAAGGTCGTCTGTAAGTTTGGCTGTAACTTAAGTTTAATAAAAATAAATATTTATAAGATAAAAATCACAGTTATTATATAATATATCATAACATAATATTTATAGATAATATATTTATATATTATAACAGTCGCCACTTTCCTTGAGAGAACTACTCTACATTAGTATATATTGAATTTAAGAGAGAATAACAAAGGATGGCTTACCTCATCATAATCCGGAGTACGTACTACGTTTGGCGAAGCTTTTGTAACAACTCGACCGTAGGCTTCCCGAGGAATCGAGGTATATTGGTACCTAAACCTGCAAGAAAATTAATTTAGTTACAATTTTAATTACAAAATTCCATTTCCAAAAATTCCGGGATTTTCTGAAATGATATACATATATTAAACTAAGGGACCTTCAAGAAAAAAACCTACTTCTAACCATACAAATACATAAACTCTCACGCCTGAGGGTAGGCAGAGACCACGGACTTACTTTGACACGATCCTGATCGACTCGCACGCCGTTGGCCCAACTTAATAAATAAACATAGCCCCCCCCCTCCTCACACGACACGTGATGACCTAGTAAAACATGACGGAAGTTGATGAACGCAGTTAGCATCGACCGTATAACGTGGCAATCCTTGTAATGATGATGATGATAATAATACGGATATATTATGTATAAAGTTATAAGCATTTTTATTGATATACAAATTTGGAGCTACTTGGAGATACTCGTAACATGTATATAGAAACTGAGATTTTACTAAAAAAAATGTTGTTGTTTTTCATTTAACTTACGTTCTATAAGTGAAACCAAACTACTGGTTTCAAGGATAACGGTGTTTACACTAACAGCCTGTATAATCCTGCCAGACTTCCAACTTTGTTACAGTGAAAGAGAATTGCCCTTCAATCATAAATATAATACTTTACATTCAATAAAAGTTGTAATATAATACAGTTTTTTATTATATATATTTTAGCAAACAGTTTGCTGCCATTAACAAAATGACCATAGGTCCAACTAGGCTGTGTATCTTTGCCTCAAAATAAAATAAAATAAAATAACATTTACTAACGCGGGTAACCTTTAAATTCAAATAATTAAATTAAAACCAATTATATATATTTACGTTAACTGAGTGTATTATAAAGAGTAAGGTAATTTACTTATTATGTATATTATGATTAAAACATATGTGTATAATTTCTGTCTATTTTTTTTTTGTTAAAATGTTAATTTAGTTGGAGGCGATACAAAGGTAATTTGTATAACTTTTTTAATAATTAAATATGAAACAATCCTCTGGTTATTTTATCAATTTTCCTTTTTTTAGAAAATGGTTGATAAATGCTAGATTAGAGTTTTTTGAAGTTAGGTATATTTGGTTATTTATTTATATATAACGTCTTGCTTAAGTCAATAAATTTTTGCAATTTTCGAAAAGTACTGAATAGGTGGGATTTAGCAGACGGCCAACATTTTACACAGTTTAAGTCTAAGTGGTAGAATTAAAACGGCATTTAAAAGCAAACCCAATATAATACCTTTCTAAATGGACGTAGGTTTTAATACTCTTCACTTTACAAACAATGGATCTATTGTGTCAAAAACCAAAATTTACCGCAGCCTATGCTTCACCACGGGTCGCCTGTTTCAACGTGACGGAATGAACTTAATGAATAGAACATTTCTCGAAATTAAATACACCAAATGGACATTGTAAATGCCTCCTTGATAAAATGAAACGAAACGAGACGTAGGTACCAAAAATAAAATTAAAGAGGAAAATATTCTGACGACATTTGAGTTTGAAATCAACGGCATTGAACTGTAAGTAATTAATCACTTTGAACGCTGACAATGTCTGAAACGACGTTGTTGAAAATAAAGTTGTACGAAATTGTTCCGGCTTTTTAATATCGATTCAGATTATTCTCATTCTTCATCACCGTTCAATTGAAAATTCAAAAACTTGAAAAAAGAAGTATAGGTAAAATTGTCAAAAAAGTAAAATGTACTGTTTTGACAAATTTAGAATAACTTGTTAGAAACGCTGATAATAAAGAAAAGATAATAAAGACGCTGTTGCGTCTTTTTTAATTTTAGCTTTGATATGATTGTAGATTGCAATCATGTCATAGCAAATAATGCATCCAATGCTAAAGTCACTACCTTAAAAATTTCATCCATATCATATGCGGATAAGATTTTGTGAAAAAATTAAAATGTTCTCATTTGTTCTGATTTGCTGCCGCACTTGCGAGATTATAAACGAGAAAGAGGCTAAGAAACGAGAGATAGAGTAAGAAATTATTATTTATATTTATAAAACTATCATATTCACAACTAGCTGTTCCCCTGATTTTTTTATTTGGATTTATTTCATTTTGTGGGTTGCAATTTTTTTCTCTTGCGCGGAGTCTTAATTATTTTTATTTTTCTAAAATAAAAGTAACCTACGTTATTCCTTATATATTATAATTGGATTTATTTTATGGGTTTTTATTTTTTTTGTCTTGTGCGGAAACTTAATTATTTTTACTTTTCCAAAATAAAAGTTGCCAGTGAAAGTTCCGTCAAAATCGGTGCAGCCGTTTTAGAGATGCGCCAGAACAAACAGACGGACAGACAGACAGGCAGCCAGAAACAATTTTAAAAATAGGTTTTAGTTACAAGTACTATAATATAAAACGAGAGGATTGTTATTAGAAATATGTTATCAGCAAACACAGCAGTACCACGGATAATAAGATACCCTCGTGGACCTATTGATAGAATAGAAAGGGACACACGAGATAACACCTAATTGTTTTACATAATGATTTTCTATATTTACGTGAACACTACACATTTAATAAAACTAATTTTATGGCTTTTATCTTTTTTTAAGTTTCCACGTTTTAATTGCTTTACGGGAAATTAACTGATAGAGCTAAATAACTAAAAGCAGTAGCATCAGTAGTTATACAGTTATCTTACTGTATAAGTTAACGTACTTACGCTAAGTAAACCTTTATCCTTCACTAACTACATGAACAAACCAAAACAGCTTATAAGGTACCAGTTACAAACTTAGTTGTGTAGAAAGTAAAGGTGTTTGTTGGCTGAAAGTGGCACCGCTTTCGTATAAAACAGAAACAGATTAAAGTAGGAAGATGTGCAAACAAAGCACTAAGTTATACTAGGTTGAGTGAGAGTGTGGAAGCTTTATACAAGCACTTCATAATGCACAGACACAAGCGCTGGGATCACCTATAGTAGCAGACGGATAAAATAACTCAATATTTAGTACTGCCAACGCGGACTTCTTTCTGGTAAATGCTTTTTATACAGTGATTTAGTAATTTTTTTTCTATCTAAACACAACCAGTTCAAAACATCTTTCTTACTATAAGTATAACGTATGTAGATAATGTTATAAATGGACATATTATCCCTTACAAATCTTGGCTTTAATCATGTTAATTTAATGGTATTTGAGATGAATACTCAAAATCAATCAATACATGTAAAAGATAGTAGCTAATCATAAAACATTTGTAAACAGACAGGCTCTATATTTTGTTGGAACAACAAAGAATTTTCTTTTGTATCATACCATTAATTACTAAAAAGTACCCTATTAACTTATAATTTCAGTGAAAAGTACTAGACAGTCGATTCTAGTTAGTTTTTAGGTTATTGTAATATTCATATTTTAATTTTTAATTTCTCAGTATTCCCGTTATGATGCTGTAAAATTAATATTACTATTGTAATCTATAGATTATATGGAATAAATCGACATGCATTTTATTAAGGACCGCTAAAATTTGTGGTGGGTCCATTCTACATACTAAAATAAATTGTCTTATTTATGTGGGAATCATAACAAAAATATTGATGTTGGGTTTGAGATTTTGTAGGCGATGAGATTTACTAGTCACTTATCATTTCCTTCACAATTTTCCGTCTAAACACAATTTTTTGCTAAACGTTGTCTGAGTAGCTCACTGCTCTTTGAACTGTACCCACCCTTGGAGATAAGATATTAGAATGATTTTTATTCAATGTAGATTATTACAAAATACTTAATGAAATTCATATTTTATTTAACACTGTTTCGAAAAATACCTCTGATCTGGGAGAAACCAGCAAGGAAACCAATGGTACTTTAAAAAAAACATAGTTCACTTTACAATAATTTATTTGTACAATTCTAAATGAATTTTAATAGAACCAGAATGGTGGGGGTCACCTCATTCCCAGGGGTTATTTTCATTTGTATATTCTTTGATATTATATTAACCCTTTTTGTAGAATTTTTTCTTTAGTATAACGTTTAAGTAACAGGCGTAAAGTTTCAATTAAATAACTGAGTTTAAAAACATCAGCTGCCGGAACAAAACATCAATTAAACTAAAATTAAATAACAATAACAATGAAGTATTCCCCAAGCCGACTGGTCCTCGTGGGGAATTAGACCACCACCCTCCATTGAACAATTGCAAGAGTAATAGTAAAGATTGTAATAAAAATGGTAATAAACCCAAAAATGTTAGATATGAAAAGAAACAAGTTGAAAACTCCACTTTAAAAATAGGTACATTTAATGTAAGATCCCTTTCATCAATTGAACGATACTTACAACTTACTTATGCACTAGAAAAAATCGATTACGATATACTGGGTTTATCCGAAGTAAAGAAAACTGGTTACAGCATTGAAGAATATCGAGAGTACATCCTATGTTACATTGGGCAAACAAAAGGCTTACATGGGGTAGGATTCCTGGTAAAGAAAAAACATAAACATATGATATCCAATTTCACAGGGATCTCTGAAACGGTTGCTCTACTGCAACTAGTAACCGAGGAATTTAATATATCTATAATCCAGGCATATGCACCAACAGAGGCATCGCAAGAAGAAGATATCGAGAATTTTTACAGCGATATGGTAAAAGCACACTCTTTAGCAGACAATATAATAATAATTATGGGTGACTTTAACGCTAAAATAGGGTGGCCCAAGAAAGAAGAATGCTTGTGTATGGGAAACTACGGGTACGGAGAACGCAATGAAAGAGGCGAAAGACTAATAAATTTTGCTCTCGAATACAATTTGTCAATTATGAACACATTCTTCAAGAAAAAAGCCAAAAGAAGATGGACCTGGACGTCACCTAATCAGAAGATCAAAAATCAAATCGATTTTATTTTAACTAATAAATCTAACAAGGTAACAAACATTGAAGTTCTAAACCAAGTCAAATTTGCTACGGACCACAGATTACTACGAGCAACGTTTCATATATACCAAACAAAAAAAAAGCAGAAAAACATTTCAAACTTCAATAAAAAAACCCAACAACAGATTACGAAATTAAAAAAATACACTGAAAGCCTTAAATCCAATCTCGAAGATAATATAACTACTACACCTGAGAATGTTCCAACCTTCTATGACTTACTTGAAGAAAATATAATATCCAGCTTAAAGAATAATAAAGACACCCAAAAGATACGACATTCAATACTTAACGAACAAACAAAATTACTAATTAAAAAACGCACAGAATTAATAAACAAAAAGAAGAAAAACAAAGAAAAGAAAAATGAACTTACCAAACTCTTCAAACTCACTAATAAATCCATAAAACTCGACTACTTTAAGCATAGAGAAATGATAATAACAAAAAATATAAAAAGTTTTAGAAGCACTAAGAGAACCTTCAAGGAACTAACTCTTCAAAAGAAATGGATACAAAAACTTGAAAACAATTCTGAAGAGACTAAGTCAAAAAAAGATGTGATAGGCCACGCCACAAAATTTTATAAACAACTATACAAAAAGAAGGAAGACGAAAGTACATTGGAAGAAGAAATTGATAATAAATCTAGAGTATAGTTAAACCAATAAAAGAAGAAGAAATACTCTAGCATATAAAAAACACTAAAAAATTAAAAAAATCCAGGGCCCGATGGGTTAACAAACGAAGCCCTTAAATTAGGTGCCCCCATCTTACTTGGATACTTAACACACCTCTTTAATATGATATTAGACACAGAAATGGTACCAAAGCAATGGTGTACATCTGACATTATATTAATTTATAAAAAAGGAAACCCTTTAGATATCGGAAACTACAGACCCATAAGTCTACTGACAAGTATGTACAAGCTCTTTACATCTATCATATTAAAACGAATCACAAAAGAAATTGACGCTACTCAGGCAATAGAACAAGCAGGTTTCCGCTCAGGATTCAGCACAATTGACCACATACACACTGTAGAACAACTAATAGAAAAATTCAATGAATATAATAAATCTCTTTATATCGGTTTTATAGACTACAGCAAAGCCTTTGACAGTATCAACCATGGTTTCATCTGGAATGCATTAAAAACGTCAAATGTAAACAATAAATATATGAACATCATAAAATATATATACCTAAATAGTACAAGCAGGGTTAAACTTGAAAGGAGAGGTGACCAAATAAAAATAGAAAGAGGAGTCAGGCAAGGCGATCCTTTGTCGCCGAAACTTTTCATCGCAGTGTTGGAAAATATATTTAAAAAGTAAAATTGGACAAAATATGGCATTAATATTAATGGCTGTCGTTTAAATCATCTTAGGTTTGCAGATGACATAGTCATATTTTCTGAAACTGCTAAACAACTTAAGGATATGCTACACTCACTAGACCAAGAAAGTTCAAAAGTAGGTTTGGAAATGAATATAAACAAGACTAAGATAATGACCAACAGTCACAACATACCCATCAACGTAAAAGGAAACAATATAGAATACGTAAAAAACTACATTTACTTGGGGAAACAAATATCCTTCATGAAAACCAACAACGAAGACGAAGTAGAAAGAAGAAAAAAACATTGCATGGAGAAAGTTTTGGTCACTAAAAGAAATTTTAAAAGGAAATTACAGTATAAAAATAAAGAGTATTGTAAGGGACACCTGCCTCTTACCTAGTCTATTATACGGCTGCCAGACTTGGACATATACAAACAAAGTGAGACAGAAAATATATACAACACAGAGAGCAATGGAAAGGAGCATCTTAAATATAAATAAAATACATAAAGTCAAAAACAATATAATAAGAGAAAAAACAAAAATAACAGATACACTCACGCACGCTTTAAGGTTAAAGTGGAAATGGACAGGACACATATATACACCACACATATAAACCACACCATGGAAGGGACCAGTATCTGGCAAAAGGAAAGTTGGTAGACCACATAAACGGTGGGCCGATGACATAATACAGTATGCAGGAAAAGATTGGATGAGCAAAAGTAAAAATAGAGAAATGTGGAATCAGATGGAGGAGGCCTTTACTCAAAATGGGATCCATATCTCTGAAAATATACACAGTTAACCGTACAAACAATAACTAATATGAAATAAGGTAATAATACTAACAACAAGTACTAATCAACATAGAAATGTAAAATGTAGAAACGTGGGATGGATAAGGAATAAAGAGGCTTTATTATTATTGTGGGGTATCTATATAGTTTTGTCATCTGGTTGGGTTCTATAAATATATAATTATAAATGAAAATGAAAAGATAAATATACATAAATATCAATAACATAAAACAAATATAAAAGTACATAAATAAATAAAAGCCCAACCAGATGGAAGCCCTCGGCAGGGGAGACCAAACGGCCGAGGGTTAGGGGGGAAAGGGAAAGAAACCGGCGGACGATGCGGGCGGTATCGAGGAGCACCGCCTTCTGCATTTGAACCTGGAGCGGTCCGCCACGTAGTCCCAGCCGCCTCAGATGACCCGAGAGGCTGACTGGGATTAGCCCGTTTGCAGAGACGACTACAGGAATAATTTCGGTCGGCAGACCACCCCACATGTCGGTCACCTCGTGAGCCAGGTCCAGATATTTCACTAAGCTAAGCTAAGCTTTCACGAGGTTCTCGTCATACGGAATGGTAATGTCGACCAAAAATATCCTTGACTGTGCGCGGTCCATCAGCACAATATCAGGCTTATTCGCAAGAATAGTCCTGTCTGTGATGATGGCCCGGTCCCAATAGAGCCTGGCGCGATCATTTTCGAGCACGGCTTCCGGCAAGTACTTGTAATACGGCAATTTCCGATCCACGAGACCGTATTTCAGAGCGAGCTCCTGGTGTAGAATTCTGGCTACTACGTTGTGCCTGTGCAAGTACTCAGAGTTAGAAAGCGCCGAACAACCGGAGATAACATGCCTAAGTGACTCACCGGGATAGCGACAAGCTCGACAGATGTCGACGGTGCCATCCTTTAGGATGTATCTCCGATAGTTGTTGGTCTTAATAACCTGATCCTGTATTGCACAGACAAAACCCTCGGTTTCCCCGAAGAGATCACCAAAGCGTAGCCAGTGGAGGGAGGCTACTGTGTCTACGAAAGGCTCATGTAGAGCCTTGTAGAACCTCCCGTGGAGCTCCTTCTCCTTCCATACGGTCTCCCGGTCGGAAATGCTCTGCACTGCCGGGTCTTGCCATTGCTCGTTGGCTAAGGATAGAGGGGTAAGTCCTTTATCACAAGAAATGACGTCCTTATAGAATGGATCATCCGATCTCGCCAGGAAGTAATCACGGAGGCTGCACACTTCGCGATTATGCATGGTGAGCGCGCTCAAGAAGCCACGCCCACCATGCTTTCGCGGCAAGTACAGCCTCATTACCGACGATCTCGGATGATGCATCCTGTGGGACGTCATGGTAGTGCGGACTTTTCTATCCAGTGCGTTAAGTTCAGTCTGAGTCCATCTGAGTATGCCAAAGGTGTACATGAGGACAGGCATGACCCAGCCGTTATATGCTTGTGTCTTATTCACACCGGACAAAAGGCTGTTAAGCACTTTGGTCAAGCGTGCATAAAACACGTCGCAAACTGACTGTTTCATATCAGCCTCATCGATACCGATGTTCTGTGACATACCCAGGTATCGGTATGTTTCAGCCTCGGAAAGGGTCCTTAAGTTGACGGGCATAGATAAGTCTATGCCTTCAGAGTTAGCAACCCTACCCCTCTCAACATGAAGTACCGCACACTTATCCGTCCCCAGCTCCATTCCAATGGAATTGCTAAACATCACTTGTGAATTTGTCCATGTGATGTTTAGCAATTCCATTGTGAATGGGTTCAGAGAGAGGCAGAACCATATTGGACTCAGACAATCGCCCCGGAAGATACCCCTTCCTATCCTTATGTGGTTCTCCGCAGCCGTCATCCGCTCGCCCAGATGACAAAGGATCGTACTCCACTGCCCCATACACTGCCCGAGGAAGTCTCTAACTGTACAGTTCGAGGACTCTCTTTAGCCATGTATGGGGCACCGAGTCGAATGCCTTTCTGTAGTCTATCCAGGCGGCGGAGAAGTTCCGACGGTTGCGTTTCACCACTTTGCCAATGACCGCGTCAATGAGGAGTGGTTCCAAATGGGTAATCCCAGTAGTGAAGAGGCTCGGGAGCGACTTCTGGTTGAGAACCTCTTGGAACTGTCGGGCGAGCGCAGTGTGACACACCACGAACCCCTTCAGCCAGTAGTGATGCAGCCCGTCGAGTCCCGGACTTTTCCAGTTCGGAGCCCTATGGACCGCCTCAGCTACGTCATCCGGCGTTATGGTGACGGGATCCATTGGCGTAATACCCGCACATTGACTCGCCACAACTTCCGTCCAAGGGCCCTCGTTGTGGTTTACGGGCTCTGACCACAGGCCGCGCCAGAATGCGACCGTGTCGGCCTGATTCGGTACTGGGGCCGTTCCACTTACCATTGGTCGCTCCAATGATTTATAGAGCCTCTTCTGATCACTCTGGAAGAGACGATTCTGGTTGAACCGTGTCGACCTCTCGGTATATCGCCGAATTCGCTTTCCCCAAGCAGCGATTCTCTGCTTCAGGTCGTCTATGCGCTCCGTCAGTTTTTGCATTATATCTGGCTGGGACAAACTAACATTTGTCCCAGCAAACGCCATCCTGACGGTGCGCACAATCCTTGGCCTGGTATTGCCTGACCTGAAGCATATCAGTCTGCCGATGAGGGCCCTAGCCTTTGCGATACGTTCTTCAATTCTTGTTCTCCAGGCTGGGATAGCACTATGGTGGGGACAGTGCCCTGTACACCTTGTGATAGGGAGTACTGCCTACCCTGAAGATAATAAATTAAACTTGGACTGTACTGAATTAGTTATATTCGTGTTACAGGGATAACCCGACAATGTAACCGTGCGATCGTTATCTAAACTGTGTCGTTCTGTGCGACCGGCGAACCGCTCCCACCACTACCGTCTCTTCCGTACCACTCCCCCCTCCTGCCGCTGCTAAACTACGTGACGCATGTTTATGCAGTAACGTCTCGCACAACCTTGTCTTCACCACACTACTTTGTCCAGTAGTGCGTCCAGCCGTGGAAAGTTTGGCGCCTATAATACGGCAGACTGCCAGTGCGGCGCCAAAGAGAATTGAGTCCGTCTCGCAAAGGTCCCGGCTGGCTTCCAAATAGGTCACCAGATTGGGTTCAGAGCCCTCACGACAGCCCGATTCCGCTTGCTTAGGGCTATGCGGGGAAGTCGCGGTCGATTTTCGAGAGGTGTACTGCGCGTTTCCATAATCGCCTCTTCCAATGTACTCCTCATTTGCTCTATTTCTAGTTCCTGGGTGAATGTTCTATCATCATTTGAATCAGCAACCAGTGGGGTATTCACGGCGGCATCCACATGTGCGGGTTGTTCTGCAACTTGTGGCACCGCACCCTCAGTCGTAGCGTTTTCATTTGATGAGGGAACAGCCTCACGTCGTAGCCGTTCGAGTTCGGCGCCATCAAATATATTTGAGCGTAAGATATACCGAACTCGGTCTGCCAGGTTTTGCTCGGTGACAGTAATAGATGGCTCCAGCTCAGTAAAAAGACGATGCATCCTAGCCCGATACGCGAAACCTCCAATTTCTCCCCCTTTCGCCCTAAAATACGCCCGCAATGCGTTTGTATTCATATTGATGGTCCATCGCATGCGGCGTACTCCACCAGTGGCGGGTGCCGATTGCTGGGTCTGCGAAGACCCTGCCGACACCAAGCAAGCTGGTGGGGATGATGGATGCGAGGGACCGCTGGGTGGTCGTACAGCACCTCACGTTTGGCTGGCGGTTCGCATGCTGTCGCGTCCAGCGCCAGCTCCAGACGCGCCCTGGCGACCTCCAGGCAGCGGCCCTTTGCGCAATCTTCTTTGTTCCATCATCCAAACAGGGCGTCATTTAACGGGAGACGCCCAGACCCGGCGCCGTTTCATGGTTATTATTATTATTATTATTATCAGTAATGAATATAGTTTTCTCATCTGGTTGGGATGTACAAATATATAATTATCAACGAAAATGAAAAGATAAACATACAAAAATATCAATAAAATAAAATAAATATGAAAATACATAAATAAATAAAAGCCTAACCAGATGGAAGCCCTCGGCAGGGGAGACCAAACGGCCGAAGGTTAGGGGGAAAGGGAAAGAAACCGGCGGACGATGCGGGCGGTATCGAGGAGCACCGCCTTCTGCATTTGAGCCTGGAGCGGTCCGCCACGTAGTCCCAGCCGCCTCAGATGACCCGAGAGGCTGACTGGGATTAGCCCGTTTGCAGAGACGACTACAGGAATAATTTCGGTCGGCAGACCACCCCACATGTCGGTCACCTCGTGAGCCAGGTCCAGATATTTTGTTTGCTTATCTGTTTCGGCTTTCACGAGGTTCTCGTCACACGGAATGGTAATGTCGACCAAAAATATCCTTGACTGTGCCCGGTCCATCAGCACAATATCAGGCTTATTCGCAAGAATAGTCCTGTCTGTGATGATGGCCCGGTCCCAATAGAGCCTGGCGCGATCATTTTCGAGCACGGCTTCCGGCAAGTACTTGTAATACGGCAACTTCCGATCCACGAAACCGTATTTCAGAGCGAGCTCCTGGTGTAGAATTCTGGCTACTAGGTTGTGCCTGTGCAAGTACTCAGAGTTAGAAAGCGCCGAACAACCGGAGATGACATGCCTAAGTGACTCACCGGGATGGCGACAAGCTCGACAGATGTCGATGGTGCCATCCTTTAGGATGTATCTCCGATAGTTGTTGGTCTTAATAACCTGATCCTGTATTGCACAGACAAAACCCTCGGTTTCCCCCGAAGAGGTCACCAAAGCGTAGCCAGTGGAGAGAGGTTACTGTGTCTACGAAAGGCCCATGTAGAGACTTGTAGAACCTCCCGTGGAGCTCCTTCTCCTTCCATACGGTCTCACGGTCGGAAATTGTCTGCACTGCCGGGTCTTGCCATTGCTCGTTGGCTAAGGATAGAGGGGTAAGTCCTTTATCACAAGAAATGACGTCCTTATAGAATGGATCATCCGATCTCGCCAGGAAGTAATTACGGAGGCTGCACCCTTCGCGATTATGCATGGTGAGCGCGCTCAAGAAGCCACGCCCACCATGCTTTCGCGGCAAGTACAGCCTCATTACCGACGATCTCGGATGATGCATCCTGTGGGACGTCATGGTAGTGCGGACTTTTCTATCCAGGGCGTTAAGTTCAGTCTGAGTCCACCTGAGTATGCCAAAGGTATACATGAGGACAGGTATGACCCAGCCGTTATATGCTTGTGTCTTATTCACACCGGACAAAAGGCTGTTAAGCACTTTGGTCAAGCGTGCATAAAACACGTCGCAAACTGACTGTTTCATACCAGCCTCATCGATACCAATGTTCTGTGACATACCCAGGTATCGGTATGTTTCAGCCTCGGAAAGGGTCCTTAAATTGACGGGCATAGATAAGTCTATGCCCTCAGAGTTAGCAACCCTACCCCTCTCAACATGGAGGACCGCACACTTATCCGTCCCCAGCTCCATTCCAATGGAACTGCTAAATTCACAAGTGATGTTTAGCAGTTCCATAAGATGGGAGCGACTGGAGGCGAATAACTTGAGGTCATCCATATAGAAAAGGTGGGTCACTTTTGTCCCTCCTTTCCGTAGCTGAAATCCCCTCCCGGAGCGCTCCAGTAAGGTACTGAGAGGGTTCAGAGAGAGGCAGAACCAGATTGGACTCAGACAATCGCCCTGGAAGATACCCCTTCTTATCCTTATGTGGTTCTCCGCAGCCATCATCCGCTCGCCCAGATGACAAAGGATCGTACTCCACTGCCCCATACACTGCTCAAGGAAGTCTCTAACTGTACAGTCTATCTTGTACAGTTCGAGGACTCTCTTTAGCCATGTATGGGGCACCGAGTCGAATGCCTTTCTGTAGTCTATCCAGGCGGCGGAGAAGTTCCGACGGTTGCGTTTCACCACTTTACCAATGACCGCGTCAATGAGGAGTGGTTCCTTGGTTCCACGACCGCCACGAAACTAACATTTGTCCCAGCAAACGCCATCCTGACGGTGCGCACAATCCTTGGCCTGGTATTGCCTGACCTGAAGCATATCAGTCTGCCGATGAGGGCCCTAGCCTTTGCGATACGTTCTTTAATTCTTGTTCTCCAGGCTGGGATAGCACTACTTTGTCCAGTAGTGCGTCCAGCCGTGGAAAGTTTGGCACCTATAATACGGCAGACTGCCAGTGCGGCGCCAAAGAGAATTGAGTCCGTCTCGCAAAGGTCCCGGCTGGCTTCCAAATAGGTCACCAGTATTGGGTTCAGAGCCCTCACGACAGCCCGATTCCGCTTGCTTAGGGCTATGCGGGGAAGTCGCGGTCGATTTTCGAGAGGCGTACTGCGCGTTTCCATAATCGCCTCTTCCAATGTACTCCTCATTTGCTCTATTTCTAGTTCCTGGGTGAATGTTCCATCATCATTTGAATCAGCAACCACTGGGGTATTCTCGGCGGCATCCACGTGTGCGGGTTGTTCTGCAACTTGTGGCATCACACCCTCAGTCGTAGCGTTTTCATTTGATGAGGGAACAGCCTCACGTCGTAGCCGTTCGAGTTCGGCGCCATCAAATATATTTGAGCGTAAGATATACCGAACTCGGTCTGCCAGGTTTTGCTCGGTGACAGTAATAGATGGCTCCAGCTCAGTAAAAAGACGATGCATCCTAGCCCGATACGCGAAACCTCCAATTTCTCCCCCTTTCGCCCTAAAATACGCCCGCAATGCGTTTGAATTCATATTGATGGTCCATCGCATGCGGCGTACTCCACCAGTGGCGGGTGCCGATTGCTGGGCCTGCGAAGACCCTGCCGACACCAAGCAAGCTGGTGGGGATGATGGATGCGAGGGGCTGCTGGGTGGTCGTGCAGCACCTCGCGCTCGGCTGGCGGTTCGCATGCTGTCGCGTCCAGCGCCAGCTCCAGACGCGCCCTGACGACCTCCAGGCAGCGGCCCTTTGCGCAATCTTCTATGTTCCATCATCCATACAGGGCGTCATTTAACGGGAGACGCCCAGACCCGGCGCCGTTTCATGGTGAGGCCATATGCACAAGCGGGCCCTTGCACCATCAATTTTTGCCGAGGCACGGCGCTCACACCTCTTGGCAAGGTGCTGACTGACTGCGCGGACGTAGCGGTTTTGTCACATAACCGTCACGTCAACGGGCGATGGGGTCGTCACTTCCCTACGCCATGTATAAAATATAAAAGCTGCCCCCAGGTACTGAATTTTATTTTGAACACAGTTAATAATAATAATATTATTATTACTATTATTATTATTATTATTATTGTGGGGTATCTATATAGTTTTCTCATCTGGTTGGGTTCTATTAATATATAATTATAAATGAAAATGAAAAGATAAATATACATAAATATCAATAACATAAAATAAATATAAAAGTACATAAATAAGTAAAAGCCCAACCAGATGGAGGCCCTCGGCAGGGGAGACCAAACGGCCGAGGTTATTATTATTATTATTATTATTATTATTATTATTATTAACTGAGTTTAAAATAAAATTCAGTACCTGGGGGCAGCTTTTGGTATAGCGGTGTACACGGGCCATTCATTATACATTAGTGGGTTTCTGTAGGAATTAACTTCATTCATTATTTCCGATGCACGAGCTTGTTTTTTGAGAACCTGCAAACATGAAACCTTGGTAGACATCACAACGGATTTAAAATTATCTGAAGGGTATTTTTATCGACCCTCAAAAACCCACTGCTGACATGGGTATTTTGTGTTGAAGTGATAGTTTGCATTAATCGTCACGCATGGAACATGCATTCAAGATCGCAGAGCCAGAAGTAATAGCAACTTTCGTTACTACCTCTCGTTGATCTGAGTGATGAACGACATCAGCGAATGGTTTAAACTACCATCTATCGGAAGCCATAAGTTTTTTCTCGTTATAGTCACCTCTTATGAAGTACTCCGATTGATGTCACCTGAGGGGACTATGTAAATACCTAAGAACTCACGTCCTGACAAATCTCTCCTACATTAGGAGAGACCCAACGCCCATAAATTCAATATCATTGGCTAATAAAGAAAATAAAGACAAAATAAAGTCACGCAATTTTACAATTCGCCGTAAAGTGGTGGCGAAAGAGAATCCAAAAGTTTTGTAAGAGGCGACAGAATAAAACTGTAATATGGAACGGGCAGCAGCACCTTCCTGGTAAAAACTCAAAATAATGATGCGCGCCACAATTAATGCCTGGTATAGACGGTGTTACCACTAGCGCCTTCTAGTATCGAGTAGCAGAACTAGGAGAGTCAAGATCCTTTCCATGGAAGAACTTTCTAGAACTACCGACACATAGTCAGCCGGGAACGGTATGTACTCGAACAGTCTAAATATTTCTACAGTAGAAGGTTCTGGAATTATCTGAGGCCGGTATTGATCGCGACCCGGGACAATTTTGAATTGGCGATACCAAGCGAATACTTCGAAGCGATACAACTGCGAACTAAAGTGATCAGTAGTACAAATGTATATTATTAGCGTGTTTAAATTTTTAATTAGTATTCTGTAATTAATGTGTCAATTTTGGTAATTTACTCGGCCTTTTTTATTGTCTCGAACCCCAAGCTCGTAACAATAACTAAAAACTGCGGTTCCTATCTCTTAGGGCAATGAGGGAGGCATATCTGCTGCAGTTGACTATGATGGGCTGTAGTCATGAATACACTTGTGAACGGTTTTCGACCCATGAATTAGGATATAGCGTATAAACCTAATATTAGACATGATATAAATAAAATAGATAATATAGACTTATTTCGACTGTGTCGTGGCGGTGTAAGAATATCTACTACCCTATATCGTGCCGCGGTTGTCGTGAGAAGCGACAGAGGGTGCAGGTGCACTAAAACTAGGTGTGCAGCAGTGTGGCCGAAGTAGGAAAAGGGGAGGTCTCCCGCCGGGCAAGGTGTTCTGTCCGGGGAGCGGCTCACACTCCGTGTGATAGTTCGGAGATGTTCTATATATGCTGTTTATGATTCGGAATGTTGATAGCGTGATTTAAGCTTCGGTGTGTTTCGCTTGCGGCGCGACGACAGCGCCGCCACATCACCCCCCTGCTCAGACCGGAGGTTGATAGTGCAGTCCGATTGCCGGTGTGTCCTCTTAATGCCGGTGGGGAATGCATGCTGTGTGCGTAAGGGCAAGTGACACCGGTGCGAATGATATGCCGATGTGTAATGCATGCCGTACTACGCACTGGCAAGTGATGCCGGTGAGAACGATGTGCCGGAGCAAGTGCCAGAAGTCTGCCTTATAAATCTGCTGTGAGTCGAGATGAAGACAAGTTGGACTGGCTTGCAGGAACTGAAGACTGCAGAAGACGATTCTCAATAGTGAATGGTAGGGGTTCTTGGGGATAATGATGAAAGCTTGAAGTTGTAGTTTCCGAAGGTGTTTGGTTGCGTGTTCAGATCACGTCGGTTAGTCACCACTGTGGCCGAAGTAGGAAAAGGGGAGATGTCCCGCCGGGCAAGGTGTTCTGCCCGGGGAGCGGCTCACACTCCGATGTGATAGTTCGGAGATGTTCTATATATGCTGTTTATGATTCGGAATGTTGATAGCGTGATTTAAGCTTCGGTGTGTTTCGCTTGCGGCGCGACGACAGCGCCGCCACAGCAGCATCTTCCTGATAATAGCTCAAAATATTAAAAAAACTGCGGTTACCAACCACGTTGCCAAGCGTGGCATCAATGGCAATATTCCCCTGTGAGGCAATCTATGTGGTAGGCTTGTGTTTGGAAGTAAGCTTTTAAAAAACCGTAATTTATATATATATTTTTTTATTTTTTTTTTATTTATTTTTTTTTTTTTTTTTTTTTTATAAGAAATAAAATCACGTTCAAGTTTCCTTTTTACGCTTTATTGTATATTTTTTACCATAAATATCATTCTGCTTATTTTGTGAATATACAATTTAATTTTGTGCGCATTGTTGTGTACAATAGCTTAATAAGGTCGTTAACTGTCAAGTGTTCATGAAACCATTATGCAAATAAAGATAATTTTACACTGTTTTCTAAAGTGCATGTATACACAGTATTTTGTGGGTTAAACAATGTAAAACGTGATTTTTAACTTATATTATATCTTTATACGACTCAGTCCTTCCTTTATTTCTATAAGATAAGGGTGACAAAGGAGCACACAGTCCACCCGATGGTAAGTGATTTTCTACATCTATCCTCGACTACATGTAAAAAGCAGATGCTTTGTCACCCGTGAGATCTTAGATAGAATGCCTCGTTTCCAGTAAAATGGATCTCTGGTTCCCGACTCTCACAATACAAAACACAGCAAAGTTGAACTACATTTTCCGCTGGTATTCTGTAAGAGCGTGGCCCTTCCCCGGTCGAGCCGACCCATTCGTGCTACAACTATACAATTAATATAGCTGCAGCATTGCTCTACCACATAAATATTTTCTTCCATAATTATAAGTTTATATAATATTATAGGTAAAAACGCCGTGTGATGCCAGATGTATACTACGTATGTAGGGTGTTTACACACTGACGCACCCACGTTGTGTACCTCGGCTCAGTTAGTCCCAACCTTTAATAAGCTGATAATTACATTTTTGTTTGTATTAGTCACCAAAAGTAGAGGAGTTCACAAGATATTGTGGGATTAGAAGCAAATCAATCTTGGGAAACGAAGAAAAATCAACATAGTGAAATTTCTAAAAATAACTTGTGTTTACAAATGTATTTCAGAATAAAGTTGTGCGCTGATAAGGATACGGTTCTACATATTGAAATAAGTAAGGTCATTCTGAGTTCTGACTCTGACGCCATAATATATTTGTTTATTTTAAGACCCTCCTTGGCCCTGAAGCAAACAAATAACTTAGGAATTAGTACTAGGAGACACGAGCACATATAGTTCATAGCTACTAAAACCATGTTTACGTCACGTTAGAGACAGCGAAACAGGTTTCATTAAGTGCACTACGTTTTAATTGAAATTACTACTACGTCAAACATCAAGTTATATTCCCTCTCGTTAAACGTTGATTAAAAGTTTTTAACCGAACGCCTACTGGTGTACTAAAAGTGAATGCATTGAGGCATTAACTCATTCATAACGTAGAAATTATTTAGTGTATAACACCGTTAAAGCCTATTAAAGTCCACTGTTGAACATGGGCCTCACCCATAGATTAACTCATGGGGGGATATTTGCCACTGCCTTGTTGGTCTAGTTGTTATAGTAGTGCGACTGCTGATCATGTGGTCCCGGGTTTGAATCCCCGGTCAGGCGAAAAAATTAATTATTGAGTTTTTCCGTCAAGAAATTCTCAGTAGCTGCTCGGAGTTAAGAAGTTGGCGGTGTTTCACCCCCGCGCTTCGGAAAGCACGTAAAGCCGTTGGTCCTGCACCTGATCTCTCTCCGGTCGTGTCGAATTACCGACCCATCGGATTATGAGAATGAGGGAATACGAGTAGTACTATAATCCCGTCCTGTAGCGATAGCTAATCTCCGTTGAGGCTGGCCTCCGTGACTGAAATTCGGTTTCGAGGACATGGTTTGCCAAAGTTGCCACGCTTGGTAAGCGGGTTGACAGATGCTTGCCAAGCGTTGCCAAGTGTGGCAAGTTTTTTCCAATCTTCAGATTTGTTTCCCTCTTTCGCCTTTTACGACACCCACGGGATGATATGTGGTAGTAGATATTCTAACACTGGCGGTGTTATTCACTACTCAGTAAAGTGTACAATAAAGATAAATAACATGAAAATAAATAAGTAGATATAATTATTATGTATAATATTATGTAATAGAGCCACGATGTTGCTATATTATGGCTGCAATGTGAATGGGCCGACTCGATTGGGGTAGGACCATATTCTCACTGAATACCAGCGTGAAATATCAGCTTAATGCTGATGTGTTTCGTATGGTGATTGTAAAGAACAGGCGCTTCTTTTAACTTGTAATAAGGCATTTTATCTTAGTCATCAGGGGTGACAACGCATTTTAATTTTGATTCTTAATTGATGATAGATGTTAATGTCCACGAGCCACTTACCATCAGATGAACTGTATGCTCGTTTGTCAGCTTTATACTATAAAAAAAGTTTAAAAAAGAACAGGCGACTCTTCGTAGTGAAAAAGGAGCATCTTAGTCTTCAGAGGTGACAACGAATCTACATATTGATTGATATGGGATATATGAATTGTATGTGATTATGGATCACAGCATCCGCTTAATATCACGTGGACTGTGTGATCGTTTGTTGCCACTATTATAAAGGATTACTGGTTCGCTTCACTCACCGTACGAAACAGTAAATTTATACTATTATTTGAAGATGGTTTCTGTGACAGCGTGAAAACGTTTGTTACGAAGGACATAATATTATATTGTACCAAGTGTACGGTACTCCAGTGATATTATAGCACTGGAGTACAACTAATGTACACTCTTACGACGTCACTTTACAACATTAATGCCAAGTGCGGGCTTCAGATTACTGAATCTAATATATAAAATTTTATGTTCGTTTATTCGTATTTTACGAGCTGCCACACCGTCCATCAGATTGCGCTTAAACTTTGTCAAATTATTGCTTTATATGGCATAGTATAATTAATTTGTTGTAGGTGGCGCGCGTCTTACCGAAAAATTTATTTTAAATTTATATATATGTAATACAATTTCGATCAAGGTATCATTCCAAATACAACAATATAACTTTTTCAAATTTAAAACGAAATTTCCACAATTATTTCTTTTGCGGCAGTAAACCAGCCAGTCTTAAATATAAAGTTATTTTTTAATTTTATTATAAATAAAATATATTAAATTATAGACGTACCTCACACATAGCCTTTAGTTGATCGCAAGTAGGCTCATCGGTTTTCCCTATTTCCCGGTCTCGAACGCGAGCGGGACGTGGCGATAGAAGCGTTAGTCGAGTCTTTGGGCAAGGACGACACTTGCAAATGTCAGCACACACCAAACGGGTCACAATGATCACATTCTGTTGACAATTTTAAATTAGTTAGTGAAATGCCATAATATATCTGTAAATTTTGATATACGTGTGCGCAGTAGAACCAGAGTAATAGACATAACTAGAAGGATCTGTAAATTGAAGTGACCAGCCAGACATGTATCTAGAATAACAGATAAATGACGAGGAAAAAGGATCATTGAGTGGCAAACTCGTACTAGTTAGCAGGATGTGGGGCGAAATATATTAGATGAAGTGACGACTTGGTAAAGCATGCGGGTATTCGATGCTAGCCAATGTAGCCGGCTCAGGACCGTATTTTGTGGCAATCCGTGGGGGAAGCCTATATTCAACAGTAAACTTGATAGCTACTATTATACTTTAACTTTAGAGATATTATTTTAAGGTACAAAAACATTTGCCTATTAGCGAACTCTTAAATTTCCATTAAAATGGGCTTTTATATATTTTTATATATTTTTTCTTTTATATATTTTTATAATATTTTTGACTGCTTCAATGGTTGCACGTAAAAACGTTGGTCATGCGCCTGATCTCTCTTTGCGATCATGTTATATTGCTGTTCCATTGGAGGATGAGAGTTAGGGAATAGGGACAGTCTATGCTTGTGCACTAAAATCCTGTTCTATATAGATCTGCCCCCGTTAGTTAAAAGGACGCATCCAACAAAAAGTTAATTTCGAGAAAAAAATTCTTGAAATGACAAAACAGTAAAAAGCCTGCTTTGAAGTAAATATTTTTTTGTCATTGTGTTAATGTATGATATTATTGTGTACATTTTTTTATTATACGCATGCATTGGATTCTTTAATTTTATTTATTTTTAGTAATAAAACTTAAAAAAAAGCTTTTTTTATTTTAGCACAAAAAATTATACGAATCACTTCCAACAGAATAAAAAATGCGCAACAAGCCATATGCGGTTTTTATACTTAGCACACATAATATGATATTATATATTTTTTACTTATTTATATTAATTTTGCCATCAAAAATTTAATCATAAAAGACGCTTCTGCAAAAACGTCACTTTTATGATGAATGAAATAAGGTTGCAATGATAAAATTATTTTCATTTTCCTGTCAAGTAATTAATTTTAATCAATATTAATTTAAAAAGTTCAAACTGAACAAGCTAACTCGGTCTGAATTTCGGTCACTGAGCAGCGGTTATAAAATTATATATATATATATATATATATATATATATATATAGATATTAGGGGGTGCTAAGAATCTCCGGTGGAGGTTCGGTTGCCACCTACGACGACTCGACCTGGCAACATTTAACGCACGCACACTGAGGACTGACGAGAAGATCCTGGAGCTGGAAGAAGAGATAGACAAGTTGCGCTGGAGTATTATAGGATTATCCGAGGTCCGAAGAGAGGGGGAGGACACGGTGATTCTCGAATCCGGCAACTTGTTCTATCACCGGGAGGGCGACCATCTGTCCCAAGGAGGTGTCGGATTTATCGTCCACAAGTCTCTCGTCAACAACGTTGTACAGATTGAGAGTGTGTCGACGAGGGTCGCGTACCTGATACTCAGAATCACCAAACGGTATTCGCTGAAGGTCATACAGGTTTACGCACCAACGTCGGCACATTCCGATGAGGAGGTGGAGGAAATGTATGAGGATATTTCCAAAGCCATACATTCCTCCAAAACCCACTACACGGTGTTGATGGGAGACTTCAACGCAAAACTAGGCACAAGAGAAAGCGGTGAGCTGAAGTTAGGGGAAATTTGGAGTAGGGCAACGGAACCGAAGGGGCCAGCAGCTGGCCGACTTTATGGAGAAAGAGGGACTCTTTATGATGAACTCTTTCTTCCAGAAGCGGCCCCACAGGAAGTGGACCTGGTCGAGCCCCGACGGTTCGACAAAAAATGAGATTGACTTCATTATGACGACCAGACGCCAACTGTTCAGTGATGTCTCAGTGATCGCAAGGGTGAAAACTGGCAGCGATCACCGAATGGTTAGAGGCACACTGAACCTAAACGTTAAGTTGGAGAGGTCTCGTCTAATGAAGTCAACGCTCCGTCCCCCTCGTGCTCTGATCCAAAATCCCGAAAACTTTCAGCTCGAGTTACACAACCGCTTTCAGTGCCTACAAGATTGCAATGCAATGGACGATATGAATGACAAGCTCGTGGAAACTGTCCATGCGGTCGGAGCTAAGTTCTGCAAGACCCGCCGCAGAAGAACACAAAAAACTCTCCGATCACACTCTTAATCTCATGGCTGTTAGACGGGAGATGAGGCTGCAATCGTCAACAGATTTGACAGCATACAGGCAACTGAACAGACAGATCTCCAAATGCATGCGGCGAGACTTACGCAACTTTAATACTGCTCGTATTAAAGAAGCGATCGAGCGGAACCAGGGCTCCAAAGTCTTTGCCAGAGATCTATCTGCCAGAAAGAGCCAACTGTCAAAGCTGAAGACTGAGTGTGGCAGCATCGTTTCCGGGACACCTGAGATTTTGAGTGAGATTGAGAGGTTCTATGGGCAGCTGTACACATCATCGTTGGAGCCACACGCAAGTGTGAGTAACGATCCAAGAGCAAGTCTTATCCGACACTATTCCGATGATATCCCGGACGTCAGTCTAAGCGAGATTAGAATGGCTCTCCAGCACCTTAAAAACGGCAGGGCCCCAGGCGAGGATGGAATTACAGCGGAGCTTCTGAAAGCGGGTGGAACACCGGTACTTGAAGTCCTTCAGAAGCTCTTCAATTCCGTCCTCCATGGTGGCACTACTCCGGAGGCGTGGAGCAGAAGTGCGGTGGTCTTGTTCTTTAAGAAAGGCGACAACGCTCTCTTGAAGAACTACAGACCGATTTCCCTTCTGAGCCGCGTCTACGTGCTGTTTTCGAGAGTCATTACGAATCGTCTCGCACGCAGACTCGACGACTTCCAGCCTCCCGAACAAGCCGGTTTCCGAAAAGGCTTCAGTACCATAGACCACATACATACCCTGCGGCAGATTGTACAGAAGACTGAAGAGTACAATTTGCCACTTTGCCTGGCGTATGTGGCCTATGAGAAAGCCTTTGATTCCGTCGAAATTTGGGCGGTGCTGCAGTCCCTTCAGCGGTGCCAAGTTGACTGTCGGTATATTGAAGTGCTGAAGTGTTTGTACAGTAGGGCTACGATGGCTATCCGAGTACAGAACCAGAGCTCGAAACCTATCCAACTGCAGAGAGGTGTAAGACAGGGTGACGTTATATCCCCGAAACTCTTCACCGCTGCTTTGGAAGACGTTTTCAAGCTACTGGACTGGAAAGGATACGGTATTAACATCAATGGCGAGTACATCACTCACCTTCGATTTGCCGACGATATAGTCCTTATGGCAGAATCGCTGGAGGACTTAAGCACTATGCTCAATGACCTCAATAGTGCCTCCCAACGGATAGGTCTTAAGATGAACATGGACAAAACAAAGATTATGTTTAATGTCCATGTCACACCTATGCCGGTAGTTGTTGGGAGCACTATGCTCGAAGTTGTTGACGAGTACGTTTACCTGGGACAAATAGTCCGACTAGGTAAGTCCAACTTCGACCGAGAGGTCAATCGACGGATTCAACTCGGCTGGGCAGCGTTCGGGAAATTACGACATATCTTCTCGTCAGGTATACCTCAATCTCTGAAAACTAAAGTGTACAACCAGTGCGTGTTGCCGGTGATGACTTACGGATCAGAGACGTGGTCCTTCACTGCTGGCCGTATGAGGACGCTCAAGGTCGCTCAGCGAGCTATGGAGAGGGCTATGCTCGGAGTTTCTCTGCGTGATAGACTCAGAAATGAGGATATCCGCAGTAAAACCAGATTGACCGACATAGCCCAACGGATTAGTAAGCTGAAGTGGCAATGGGCCGGCCATATAGCTCGAAGAACCGATAACCGATGGGGAAGAAAGGTTCTCGAGTGGCAGCCTCGTACCGGTAGGCGTAGTGTAGGGCGACCCCCCACTAGATGGAGTGACGACCTGGTAAGATATGCAGGAAGTCGATGGATGCAGGTGGCTCAGGACCGTGCTTTGTGGCATTACTTGGGGGAGGCCTATGTTCAGCAGTGGACTTGTGAAGGGCTGTGATGATGATGATGATGATGATGATATATATATATATATATATATATATATATATATATATATATATATATATATAATTTTTTTATAGTAAGTATACTTAATATTTTCAATTTTTTTTAAGTTTACAACAACAGTCAAAAATTACACGTTTAAAATTATGAAAGGGTTCATAAAATGTATTTGATAGAGTTATTAAAAACTAGAACATAAAACTCAAATTCCACTTCAAAAAAATTTTGTAATACTTAAAATCTACACTTTGATGGCAGATCATAGGGTTTCAGAGTATTGTTACAAAAAAAATTAAGAGTAAAATAAAACGAACATCAAAAAAGCCAATAATTAAAAACCAGAATACAAAGTCACCTAAAAATACACCTCAACATAATTTTATGAGCTTTACGGTTTTGTCACAACCAAGTGTTATACTCGTAAATACAAAGTTTAACAAATGCGTTTTTGTGACTAGTAACATAATAACTGGACTATAATGGGTTCTTTTAGTTTCCATTTAGTGGCATTTTCACAGCCATAAATATTTGTTTCAAAACACTAAGTAATATCCTCGTATAGTAATAATTCAACATCAAATTCACTGAATCATTATTAACCTGTAAATTATACCAAAATTCCCTTCTATTTTCTTTCGCTTTTATAATGTAAAATAATTAGAAATTAATAATTATATTATTTATGTAGTTATGAAACATCACATGTTATATCATAGTAACAACATTATTAAAAAAATTATTACTTACTGCACCAATTTAATATTACTAGGTATTATAAATAACTATTCACTGACATCTACCCTCTATCAAAATAAGTACAATGAAATTCACAACTCTCCTAGAAAAGTATCAAAAGATTATACAAAATATGTATTTAAAACAATTATT